CTTCCTCTAAACCGCCAACCTAGAAGATGTCTTCTTTTACTATCTGCATAATTCATTTGCTGATATACACCAACTCTCTCTCTCTCTCCCTCTCCCCCCTCTCTCAATACTGTTGTTTAAATTCAGAGCTTCACTCCTGCTAGGCAAATGCTCTTAACACCTGAGCCACCTCCCCCCACCATCTCCCCTTTTTTCCGTACTGTGGTTTGAACTCAGGCTGTCCTGCCTGCTCAGTTTACGTGCTCACTGATGCTCTACCACATGAGCTCAGCTTTTTGCTCATTACTTTGGAGACTGGGCCTCAACTTCCATTCTCTGGATCTCAAACTTTTGAGTAGCTGGGATTATAGTTGTGAGTCACTGTCCCCTGGCCCTTTTTATTATTTTATTATTTATTTATTTGTTTGTTTATTTTTTTTGTGCCAGTCCTGGAACTTAAGAGCCTGGACACTGTCCCTGAGCGTTTTAGCTTGAGTCACAACCCCACTTCCAGCTTTTTGATGGTTGACTGGTGATAAGAGTCTAATCAACTTGTCTGCTTGGGCTGGCTTTGAACAACAACATTCAGATGTCAGCTTCTTGAGTAGTTAGGATTACAGGCACAAGCCAATGCCCAGCTATTTTTTATTATTTTTCAGATAGGGTCTCTTGTCTTTTACATAGAGCTAACCTTGGGCCATGATCATCCTATCTCTGGCCTCTTGAGAATCTGGGATAACAGGTGTTATCTCCTATGCCTAACTTGTTTTCTGGGGTGGGGTGGGGAAGGTGTAGATTTTGTTGGTTGGTTGTGGGGCTTGAACTCAGGACCTGGGTACTGTCCTTGGTTCTTTTGCTCAAGGCTAATTTGCTCTACCTCTGATCCTGAGCCATGGCTCTGGTTTTTGGGTGGTTAATTAGAGATAAGAGTCTCACAGTCTTTCCTGCCTAGACTGGCAATGAACTGTAATCCTCAGATCTCGGCCTCCTGAATAGCTAGGATTACAGGCAAAAACTTGTTTTTTTGAAATAGGATCTCACTAACTTTTTCTGTGGGCTAGTCCCCAACCCCAACTCTAATTGTCCCAATGTCTGTGTCCTGAGTAGCTCAGATTACAATCATGTGCTACCACACCTAGCGCCTTGAGTTGTTGTTGGTACTTCACAAAGCTGTATGAGCAACAGTGGTTCACTGAGCTGAGCAGAGCTTTCAGCATTTGCCCAGGAGAGCAGCCCCTCCCTCTGACAGCCTCTGTGAGCCCACCTCTCTGATTTTCCTTCCCAGCATGCCCTGGGACAATCCAGTTGCCAGCTCCTTTACCTGGCCTCACTGACAGACAGGAAGAGCATCTGGAGCATTTGTGTTGTATGTTGCTTCTTTCCTCACCAGGCAGTTGAGAGTCCATAAGAGATGCCTATGTTTTTATACAAAGGAAAGATAACAGAGAAACGGGATGATATATTATTATTAACTATCTACAGAGGCTTATGTCAGCAATCACCATTATCCCAGACACTCTAGATTTTCTTTGCAAAAGAACCCTTTTATCCCTTTTATCGTTGAACAGAACTGAACCATTAAAGAGAGAGAGAGAGAGAAAGAGAGAGAGAGAGAAAGCGCAAAGAAAACAGAACAGTCTCTGTGGTTACCAGGCATCTGAAGACTTACCTTTTTTTTTTTTTAAAGGATATGTAATATATCATGTTTACGTAGTCCATAAGTTAAATGCAGGTGGGCTCATAAAACACAAGCATTAAAAATAAAAATGCAATCTGCACTGAATTATGCACTTAAAACTGGTGGAGATAGTTAACTTTATGATACATGTAGTTTACAATAACTAATAGAGAGAGAGAGAAAGAGGGAGAGAGAGAGGGAGTGTGTGTGTGTGTGTGTGTGTGTGTGTGTGTGTGTGTGTGTTAGAGAGAGTACTAGAGAAAGAGAAAGAGAGAGTCCAAACATTAAAATACAAGTAGCAAGCTGAATGGCAGGATTTTGTTGTTTTCTTTTGTGGTGCTAGGGATTAAATTCATGCCAAACAAAAGCTCCACCACTGAGCTGGACCCCCAACCTCAAAGTTGACAAGTTGAAAATAGAAAATGTAAGAGTACAAACTTAAGGTAGAAGATGGGCTAAGCTATCTTAGCCTACCTGAAGGATAAATGTAGTTAATAACTGTGATATACTATATTACATAAGGAATAAAGTAATCATTAAAATTGAGCATAGCTCAACGCTCACATGTATAATCCTAGCTACTGGGAAACTGAGATCTGAGGATTGAGTTTCAAAGCCAGCCAAGGCAGGAATAATATCTTTATGACTCTTATCTACAATTAACCAACCAAAGGGCAGAAGTAGAGGTATGGTTCAGGTGTTGGGGAGGCCTGACCTTTTTCTTTTCTTTTCTCTTCTTTTCTTTTCTTTTTGTCGGTTGTGGGGCTTGAACTCTGGGCCTGGGTGCTGTCCCTCAGCTCTTCAGCTCAAGGCTAGTGCTCTACCACTTAAGCGCCAGTGCCACTTCCTGTTTTCAGAGTTTCACGGACTTTCCTGCTGAGACTGGCTTTGAACCGCGATCCTCAAACCTCAGCCTCCCGAATAGCTAGGATTACAGGCATAAGCCACCAGCACCTGGCAGAGGGCTAGCTTTGAGTGAAATGCTTTGCAAAAACTTGAGGCCTGAGTTCAAGTCCCAGTTTAGGCATACACACAAACACACATTAAAAAAACCTAATCATAGAATAAAGGTGAGCATGTGTGCCAGGTGCTGGTGGCTCATGTCTGTAAGTCTAGTTACTCAGGAGGCTGAGAGCTAAAGATCCCAGTATGAAGCCAACTCTGGAAGGAAAGTTCATGAGACTCTTAACTCCAGTTAACCACCAAAAAGCCAATAGCAGTGCTCTGGATCAGGTGGTAAAGCTCCAGCCTAGAGTAAAAAAAAGAAGATAAGCGACAGTGTCCAGGCCCTGAGTTTAAAAAAAAGCTAAATCCTTAAGAGGAAATTGAAAATTCAGAAGGAATTGAATATATAGCTAAGTGCTATGTTAACTAGAGACTAATTCTTACTTATATATGCTCTGCCCGTGGAAGGAAAATACATAGTTGAAAATGTAAACGCAGCCTTTTCCCATTATTTACAAATCAGAATGTGCCAGGGACATACAATTCCAGCTAAATAGATGACGTAAGGAACAAAGGAAGGAAATGGGCAGCTTTGGCAGGACTTCTCTTAGGAGCACATCCACAGGGAAAAGAAAACTCTGGAGGCAAACCCTCCCCACTCAAACCCTTTCTAAAATCTTCCCCATTGTTTATCACAGTATTGCTTAGGCATTCTTACTTCCAAAAAAACACACTTTTATATGTAATACATTGAGAAATACCTGTAGGGACTTAGAAAATCCATCATCATAATGGTGATAATAGCTAGCATTTGCCAGTATTTATATACCATTTAAGTCCATTTTCTGTTGCTATATCAAAATACTGGAGATGGCAAATTTATGAAGAATAAAAGTTTATTTAGCTCATATATCTCCAGACTGGAATACAGTTGTTTTTTTTTTTTAAAGACACAGCCAACAAGCATTTGAAAAAGACTTAACATTACAAATTGCCAGGGAAATAAAAATCAAAACCACAATGAAGTCGAGTGTCAGTGGTGTAAAATTTAAAGTCACCTAAAACATCAGTTATGATTCTCATGATCCTCCACACACAGCTGCCTCCCCCAATTCTCCACTTATGAAGAATCTTTGAGAAGGAAGCCTGAGCAGAATGTTTGCCAAGGCCCTCTTACTCGGAGTCTGAGCAGATTCCAACTCAATATCCAAGAGAGATTGCAATTGAGCTGCCAAGCATTTCTGAAGTGGCTGAGAAGATCTAGAATCATTAACACATTCAAGTAAATATCAGGGAAATGAGAAAGGTCTACGTGCAAGAAAGCAGTCATTCTTATTCTGGATTCTGGTGCTATCACCACCTACGTCAGAATTAGAATAGTAATGACTAGGTACACACCTGAATAGGCCTCTTAGGTACTGAGAACGCAGTCCTTCAAACTCTAAGGATGCCCACCATTAGGAAGAGTAGGTCCTTTGCATTCCATTTCCAAGACCAGAGTCTCTCTGAGTTGGTTATGGTCATAATTAACCATTGCATGGGATATTTACTTTCCTAAATATTATTAAGCTGGCACTGTCTTAGTCCATTAAGGCAGCTATAATAAAATTCTAGAGGTTAAATAGATTATTTAAAAAAAAAAACTAGCTGGGTGCCAGTGGCTCACATCTATAATCTTAGCTACTCGGGAGGCTGAGATCTGAGGATCACGGTTCAAAGCCAGCCTGGGCAGGAAAGTCCGTGAGACTCTGATCTCCAATTAACCACCAGAAAACCAGAAGTGGCACTGTGGCTGAAATGGTAGAGCACTCACCTTGAGCTGAAGAGCTGAGGGACAGCGCTCAGGCCCAGAGTTCAAGCCCCCTGACCAACAAAAAAGCAAAAACAAAAAATACACAGAAATAACTCTGCATAGTTCTGGAAACTGAGAAGGCTGAGGTCAAGACAATGGCAGGTTTGGAAGGTGGTGAGGGTTTCCTGGTGCATAATCTGTGCCTTTGGTTTCCTGGTTCATGAGCTATGCTTGTTAGCCTTTTTTGTTTTTGTCGGTCATGGGGCTTGAACTCTGGGCCTGAGCGCTGTCCCTCAGCTCTTCAGCTCAAGGCTAGCGCTCTACCACTTGAGCTATAGCACCACTTCCGGTTTTCTGGTGGTTTATTAGAGATAAGAGTTTCACGGACTTTCCTGCCCGGGCTGGCTTTGAACTGTGATCCTCAGATCTCAGCCTCCTGAGTAGCTAGGATTACAGGCATGAGCCACGGGCGCCTAGCTAGCCGTTTCTTTACATGGTGGAAGGACCAAACAAGCTCTCTTGGGTAATTTCTTAAAGTACTTATCCCATTCATGGCCTGGAGAGTAGACTCCCATGACAATCATCTACATAAAGACCCTATCTCTTGTGCTCACTTTGGCAGCACATATGCTAAAATTGGAACAATATAGAGAAGATTAGCATGGCCCCTGCGAAAGGATGACAAAGACCCAACCTTTTAATACTATCACCTTTGGGAGTAAGATCTCAATATAGAGATGGGGAAGAAGGTGCAAACATCTTTTGTAGACCATAGCCACTTCTCTGTCAATAGATACTCTTAGTAACTAGCTTTGAACTTCAAGCTTCACTTAGCTGGTGCTCTAACACTTGAACCATGCCTCTGGTCAGCTTTTGGCTGGTTGTTTTGTTTTCTTGTGTTTGTTTTTATTTTGCCAGTCCTGGAATTTGAACTCAGGGCCTAGGCACTGTCCCTAAACTTCTTTTGTTTAAGGCTAGCACTCTACCACTTGAGCTACAGCTTCATTTCCACCTTTTGTTGGGTCACTGGAAATTCTGGTGGCTGATTGCACAGACTTTCCTGACCAGGCTAACTTCAAACTGCTATCCTCAGATCTCACCCTCCTGAATTGTTAGGATGACAGATGTGAGCCCAGCTAAATTTAAATCATTTTTTTTTTTTTTGTCGGTCGTGGGGCTTGAACTCTGGGCCTGGGCACAGCTCTTCAGCTCAAGGCGAGCGCTCTACCACTTGAGCTACAGTGCCACTTCCGGTTTTCTGGTGGTTTATTGGAGATAGGAGTCTCACGTTCTCTCCTGCCCGGGCTGGCTTTGAACCTCGATCCTCAGATCTCAGCCTCCTGAGTAGCTAGGATTACAGGCGTGAGCCACCAGCGCCCGGCTAATTTAAATCATTTTTAAAATAACCTTTCCTTTCAGATCATTCCAAATCATCACTGCTTCCCTTGATAGGAATGATTGAGAAGTGACTGGCCAGTAGCTTAAGCTGCTTTGCAAGGGAGCTAGCAAGGCTACTGTGGAAGAACTCTAGAATGACCGCATTTGGGAAGATGCGTCATGCGCGGGAACACAGGGGTGGTAATTTCTGCATTTGCAAGCTGTGACTCATGGCAAAGCTGCTGTGCTGTAGGGTTAGACTCAGCTCTGGGTTGGATGTTTTCCCTAGGCAGAGTCACCCAACAGGATGGGGGAGCTTATTAATCCTCAACAGGGTGTGATTATCCTTGCCACCCCAAGCCATCCAGGAGCACAAGTACCCTGCTGCAATTCTCAGGCCGGGACACGTGCACGTGCAGCAGGACTTGTACAGAAATGGGAATGGAGAGGGGCTCTCCAGATGCCAGTCCCCTCCCCTGATCACTGCTCACAGCAAGAGAAGTCGCTTTATCCAAGGAGGGAAGGGCACTGGACTGGGGTGATGGCAGAGAGGGCAGAGACCAGAGGCAGGATGGGCAAGGATGGCCTTAGAATAGTCTTGTCCGCCAGTCCTTGGTATCACAGATAAGAGGAAACGTAACCATGCCTATGCCTCCAGGCATGTTGGCAAAACAAATCGGTCACTTGAGGGTGATGGTTGCTAGAAGATTCTGCTTCCCTAGTCTATGACGCTGAGCTCTGACTTTGAAGAGAGCTTTGCCTCCATTCTGTTTGTTTTGAGTCAGAAATTTTTTAGATAGTATGGTCTGGCCTTGAACTCACACTCTTCCCAGAGCCTCTGACTTTCAAGTGCTGGGATTACAGACAGGTACCACCATACCTGTCCCTGCTTCTGTTTTGGAGGACCAAGCAGAGGTACAAGGAAAAGGAAGACATCCCCCCACCTCACCCCTAAAAACGTATGAAGTAACCATAGTTCTGACAAATGTTAAAGACCTGATGTTGTTTTGGAAGAGCCATGGAGGTGCCCTGTGAACTAGATAGATACCTCTCAAATTCCTCCCCTTCCACTCTGATTCCAGTGCAGTGGAGGCGACTGGATATACATATGCCAAATAAAAATCTACAAATAAGCCAGGCGCCGGTGGCTCACGCCTGTAATCCTAGCTACTCTGGAGGCTGAGATCTGAGAATCAACCTGGCAAGAAAGCTCATGAGAATCTTATCTCCAATTAACCACCAGAAAACAGGAAGTGGTGCCAATGCGAAAGTGATAGAGTGCTCGCCTTGAGCTAAAGAGTCGGGGGGGGGGGGGGGGACTGGGGGGGGCTCAGTGGTAGAGTGCTTGCCTTGCATGCCTGAGGCCTTGTGGCTCAAGTGGTAGAGTGCTAGCCTTGAGCTGAAAAGCTGAGGGACAGTGCCCAGGCCCAGAGTTCAGGCCCCACGACCGGACCCCACCCCCCCAAAAAATAAAATAAAAATAAAGAGTGCAGGGACAACACCCAAGCCCAGAGTTCAAGCCCCACTACCAACCAACAACAACAACAAAAATCTACAAATGAGCAATAAGAAATACAGTGATAGTCAAGCTGGACTTCCTGCCTAGAGCATGCCCTATATAACCTCTTCCTGTCCAGCCCCAGATGGCTGACAGCAGGGCTAAATGCTGGAAGATGTGAGGTTGAATGCAGGGCATGGAGGGCAGGAGAGCAGCAGCACAATCTAGCTGAAAGTTTAGGAGTTAGTTATAAAAAGATTGGAAGCCAGGTGCTGGTGGCTCACACCTGTAATCCTAGCTACTCATGAGGTTGAGATTTGAGGATTGTGGTTCAAAACCAGGCAGAAAAGTCCATGAGACTTTCATCTCCAATTAACTAGCAAAAAACAATTTTTTTAAGCCAAGTGTCAGTGGCCAAACCTGTAATCCTAGCTACTCAGGAGGCTGAGAGCTGAGGGTTGTGGTTCAAATCCAGCCTGGGCAGAAAAGTCCATGAGACTCTTACCTCTAATTAACCACCAGAAAACTGGAAGTGGCGCTGAGGCTCAAGTGGTAGAGTGCTAGCCTTGAGCTGAAGAGCTGAGGGACAGCGCCCAGGCACAGAGTTCAAGCCCCAAGCCCAACAAAAAAATTAATTAATGAATTAATTAAAAATAAAATTTAAAGCCAGAAGTAAAGCTATGGCTCTAGTGGTAGAGCACTTAGCAATATAGCCCAGACCCTGAGTTCCAGCCCTAGGACCAGCACAAAGATGAGGGAGGGGGGAATTTTTTTTTTTTTTTTTTTTTGTGCTAGTCCTAGGGCTTAAACTCAGGGGCTAGGAGCTGTCCCCTGAGTTTCTTTTGCTCACAATTAGTGCTCTACCGCTTTAGCTACTGCTCCCCTTCCATTTGTGTGTGTGTGTGTGTGTGTGTGTGTGTGTTGGTGGTTAATTGGAGATAATAAGAGTCTTACAGACTTTCCTGCCCCAGCTGTTTTTGATCCCTAGATCTCAGCGTCCTGAGCCGCTAGGATTACAGGTGGGAGCCAATGGCATCTGGGCGCTGTCCCTCAGCTCTTCAGCTCAAGGCTAGCGCTCTACTACTTGAACCACAGTGCCACTTGCAGCTTTTTTCTGCTTATATGGTGCTGAGGAATCGAACTCAGGGCTTCATGCATGCAAGGCAAGCGCTCTACCACTGAGCCACCTTCCCAAACCTAAATGTACTATTTTATAACTAGAGAAAAACTTGAAACCCTATCTTAAGTTTGCTGTTAGAGAGAAAAAATCTTTTTTTTTTGGGGGGGGGTCCGGTCGTGGGACCTGAACTCTGGGCCTGGGCGCTGTCCCTCAGCTCTTCAGCTCAAAGCTAACGCTCTACCACTTGAGCCACAGTGCCACTTCTGGCTTTTTTCTTTTTGCTTATGTGGTGCTGAGGAATTGAACCCAGGGCCTCAGGCATGCAAGGCAAGCGCTCTACCACTGAGCCACCTTCCCAGCCCGAGAAAAAGTCTTATAGTCTGTTTAGCACTGTAATAACAGAATTCTGCAGACTGAGTAATTTATAAAGAGTAGAAATGTATTTCTCATAATTCTAGATGCTGAGAAGCCCAAGATTCGGGTACTGGCTTCTGATGAAGGTCTTCAGCAAAACGTTGGGCAAATGAGAGCTACTCTCTTCCTAAAGCCACTTCGTAAGATCCCCTAGTCCAATTGATGGGGAAGAAGCCTTCATGTTCAGATCACCTCTGAGACAGGGTCTTGCTGTGTATTCCAGGCTGACCTGGAACTTGTCCTCCTCCTGTCTCAGCCTCTCAATGACTGGGATTTCAGGCATGCACCCACACTTCTAGTTATATCACGTTGATAAACCTAAATGTTGGCATCCACAGTAGTCAAACCATAGCATCAAGGGTAGAGAATTGATGGTTCATGTACTCATTACAGAATAGATTCCTCCCTGTCCATAGTTTTGCTAGAGAAAGAGTCTAAAGAGGGTTAAGGGTGCAAACTGGGGTAAAAGTGTTGGTGAGGAGAGAGTCAGAGGAGTACAGCTTATAGAATTAGAATGTCTATGACTGGAGAAGAAAGACATGGTAAATGTAAATGTGGTAATTTATAAGTACAGACACAGGAGGCTACGGATGGTCGTGACTGACAGTCTTGTTCTGCACTTGATCCAGCAAGGCTGTCTTGCAGAGGGGGAGATTTTGTACAGCCACCATGAATGATAAAGAGGACACCGACACATCACTGCATTGCCAAGTGGTACCTAGTGTCTGGTGTGGCTGAAGGTGCATCTCTTCTAATGGACCTAGCTTGTGTCTCCCCCCAGTATAGCAGATGCATTCAGGGTTCTGTCATGAGGTTTTTAGCACATTTGTGCCTTGCTCTAGATGCTCCTGAGCTATTCCCAGTGTGAATTCCACTCCTCCTCTGTGGATAGAAATACCACTCTCTATTCTGTAAGGCCCATCTAAGGTTTCTCTATTCACTTAGTCAGATAGGAATGAATTCAATTTCCAGCTGGTTTCTCAGAACTCCATGTTCTCTGTGTTTGAGAACTTGTTAAGGCCCCCATATGCCTTTTTTCTTTGGAACCTGTGACATCTGATCTTGCTGGAGTCATTTCAGGACAGAGAGCTTGTCTTAAGTCTGACTTCCTGATGATTTTTGATTGGAAGCCAGTATTATGTTCAGTCTGAGTGTGAGTGTACACGTGCTTCCTTGACTTCTGCTCGGAGAGGTTTAATTTACTGGAGGGGAAACACCTGTATTCCCTGTTTGGAAAAATGTCTGCTTAATGGCAACTTTCCCGGATATTACCCTCTTGACAATGAAAGTTCCAATGGAAGCAGA